CCCAGTGACTCGGGGCTCCATCAGCAGCCGGCTCAGGGCCACAGGAGCCTGGAGAAGAAGCCGTGCGGCCCCCGGCTGCGGCACTGGGCAGGGGCCCAGCTGCCAGCCCCATGCACCGAGCGCCGGGGACAGGGGGCTTCTCCAGGCTGAGGCTGGGCCTTCCAGGCCGTCCTTACCAGGCACTCGGTGATCATCCACAGCTTCTTCTTCTTCACAGGTCTTTCCAGATCTCTCCTCTTCAGCAACTTAGCCGCACAAAGCAGCGTTGCCCAAGAAGCCTGGAGAGCACCAGAGACCCGCAGATGGCCCCACAAGCCAGGGCACAGGAGCCGCATTCGTGTGCCAAGGCCTGCAGGAGGCTGCAGCCGGCAAGGTGCCAGGCCTGCAGGAGGCAGCCGAGCCCCCTCCCCGGGTGACAGCAGCAGCCCGGGGGTCCTCACCTCAGCCACCTGCTGGTTCTCGTCGTGGCAGTGGAAGAAGAGTGGCAGCAGGCTCTGGTGCACGTGTGACTTCAGGGCCTTTTTTTCCTTTTCCGTTAGAACAGTCATCAGGGATCGGAAAAATAATATGGACACCAGCTGCACCTGGCTATTATCCTATATGAAAGGAAGCAAAAAAGACCTCAGCCCTGTCGGCACGGGGCTCAGCGTGGCGCAGGCCTGCAAATCCCCAGAGCACCAAGTGTCCAGGCAGCAGCCAGTGGCCTCGGCTGGGGGCACAGAGCCTTACGTGGTCAAAGAGTGGCAGGAGCGCCTCAGCCAGCTGCAGGGCAATGGGACTGGGTATCAGCATGTCCTTGTCCAAAACTATAAAGCTGAGCACCATGATAGTCATCCGAACTATCTGTCCATCTGCATCCCACAGGAGCGCCACAAGACTTTCAGTCAGGCTCCTCATTTTTTCAGCCTGTGTGGAAGACAAGTCTGTGAAACGCCACCCTGCTGCTGCCACAGGGCCAAGAGGCCAAAGGCCTGTCCGAAAGCACTCAGGCAGCTGAAGCGGGAGGCAGGAGAGCCGGCAGCAGCTGCCTCGGTGCCCAAAGCCCAGCCGAGCCCAAGTGACTTCGTTCCCCGGCGCAGCTTCAGTCACTGCCCACTTCTCACCATCGAGGGATCATCAATCAACTTGAAAAGGGCCCTGAGCGCCAGGTGACGCTTGTCCCTGCACTCGCCACTCAGGTGCCTTGAGAAGATTTCCAGGACTCTGTTAGCGCTGCGTTCACTCAGGTCCAGGTAGTCCAGGATCTGAAAGGCACAGGACAGTGACCGGGGAGCGAGCCGGCAGGAGCCTGGAACCACACAGGAAACAGGGCCCAGGCGGCAGCCCAGGGCATGGGCACCGTCCCAGGCAGCTGCAGCTATGAGAGGGCCGAGAGGTGGCAGACAGCTCTGCAGGGAGGCAGTTCTGGCCATGGGGCTCACCTCCACAAGGAATGCCAGGGCAGGCAGATCCCAGCGTGCCTCCTGTGTGCTGAGCAGCTGGAGCAGGTAGGGAACGATGCGGGAACACAAGGGGATAGAGGCAGACGACATCTCCCTGCCAGGGCAAAAAAGTAGCCAAGACCGTGAGCCAGGGGGACAAACATCTCCCAGGCCTGATTCACAGAGTTCTGATCTTTGAGCACCATCCTGCAAGGGAACCTGGGCCCTTGGGGAGGTGACTCCTTGTGGGCACCCGCCTCTGCCCAGCCTTTTCCAGTCTCCTTAGCCGTCCCTCGGTGACGAGGCCCTCTGGCCCACGACAATGGGGACCGTGTGGGGCAACCTCAGCACGGGGCACAAATGCCAGAGGCAGTGGGGAGAAGGGGTCTCACCTGGCCAGCAGACCCACAGCATGATGGTGGGTGTCAGCGCAGAGGAGCGTGTCCCAGCCACGCTTGCGTTCCATTTCCACCACCACTTCCTCACGATGCATTTGGCAGAGCAGGGACTTCAGGGCCTGCACTGCAAAGCTGTGTGCACAGCAAAGCCCAGGTCACGCTGGGAGCACTGGCTCCTGCCCTGGGGACGTGACAGGGACAGGAGGAGTGGGATGGAGCACCTGTTGGGGCTGATGGCAAGGCCGTGTTGCTCCTGGCATGCCTTCCAGAAGGCATTGAGATCCTCTGGCGTCTCCAAAGTGCTGAAGTACACGTGGAAGAGCAGATGCACAAAGAGGCGGGGGAAATGCACTGTCACTACGTGTGGGACGCAGGGCATCTGCAGGATCTTCCACATCAGCACAGTTGCCTACAGAGGACAGGGAACCCAGAGAGAGCACTCAGTGCCGAGCTGTCTGGGTGAGAGGGCCTGAGCGTGGCAGGGAGCGGTCAGGGGAAAGCCTTGGGGAGCTCCACGCCTGGTGCCCCTGAAGCTGCCCCTAGGCCAGGTTTCAGCCCAGCGCCTGAGGCAGGGAGATGCAGTGGGGGAAGGAGGAAACGAAGCTGCTGAAGAGGCTGTCGGCCATGGGGTGAGCAAAGGCCAGTTCCAGAAACTCACAGCCAGGGCAAAGACACCCGTGTTGTCCCCATCGGAGGTGCGCGTGCTGTGCTCTGGCCAGTTCCCCAGCACATCGAGGACTATCAGGTATGCCCGCTCTGCTGTCCTGGGCGAGCACAAGATGGTCTTCCACATGGTCATTGCAGCTCTGTGGGGTGACAGCTCTGTCTCACGGGGGTCTCAGACACATCCCCGTGGCCTGGGCAGCAGTGGCGGGGGGAGCTGAGCTGGCTGCCAGCTCTGCCTCTGCCCGCTGCCCCTCGCTGGCAGCAGCACCCAGGCGAGCCAGCCCTGGGGGGAGACAGGGCCCTGAGGGGGCATGGCATGGCAGCAGGCTCGGGGGCCAATGTAGCAGGGCTGGGAAAGGTCCCAGGTACACAGGACCCTGGAACT